ATTGAGCCTGCAGGGCGGGGGGCAGGCCAGGGACGGGTTCGGCTCTTAAGGGGCGTGCGGGTGTGGCCTCGAACAGACGCTGCTAGGCGTCGCCGGGACGGCGATTCCCCCGGACGCGGACGGCGGATCCACGATGCGCTCGGGCAGCCCGGCGCGGCGTGGCGAGCCCCGCCCCTGGGGTTGAGCAGCGTGTGGGTGGGTCGTCACTGCTCCGAGTAGTCAGAGCGGCGTCGCATTTAGTGATACGCCGCTCACGCCATTTAGAGCGGTGTCAGCTTAAAGCAATCGCTGCTATGACCAGCTAGAGCGGTGTTCACTCAGCAAAGTCCCGCTCTGAAGAGGAGGGGCGGAGGAGAGCGCGACTGAGGGAGGCGAAAGCAGCCTCTCCGCGGAAATTGACCGCTCCCGCTATGTTGAGCGGTGTTGCACTGACTTGACTCCGCTCGAACGTGCTCGGTCGGTGTTTTTCTGAGCAAGAGTCCGCTCTGAAGGTTGCAGAGCGGAGTCTTGTTAGGCAAACGCTGCTCTGTGTTGTGTAGAGTGGGGTTTGAGCTTGACGAACGCTGCTCTAGTACCTGCGAGCGGGGTTACTGAGATATAACGCCTCTCTGAGAGCCGAGAGCGGCGTTGAGCGTTTTACTTTTGGCCCTCAGCCCTCTGTGGGGCCTGCCATCGCAACACATATACATGACCCACAGCCCGCACACGCCGCTCCCGCTGTCGACGCGGCTGGCCGAGGTGCGCGCGGCGGCTCCCGACGTCTTTGCGGAGCTGCCACTGCCGCTGCAGCCGAGCCTGGCGTCACCGTGCTGGCGTCGCAACGAGACGAGCCGCTTGCGGTGCCTGCCCGCCTTCTTTGTCGCCGGCGCGCTGCAGTCGGGCACGGCCGACCTGTGGAGGCGGCTAAAGGCACACAGCCTCATCCCCAGCCGGCACGATGCGCTCTCGCACTGGTGGACCAACCACCCGCGCTCGCGCGCGGGCAACTTTGAGACGTACACGAGCCGCTTCTCGGGCGACGCCACGCTCGCTGCCCTCGACGCCGCGCCCGACTCGCTCCTCGGCGACGCGTCTCCTGCCTCCTTCACCTTCATGTTTGCCGAGTCGCTCCGGCTGCACTATCGCTACCTCGATGCCTTTGACGCGTGCTACCGAGAGTGCAAGGCGAACCCTCCTCAACGCGGCGCGCCCTCCGCCTGCGCCAACCGCAAGAAGGGCTCCGACGGCGGGTGCCGCCGCCTGGAGTAGCCGAGATAGAGCCGAGATACACCCTCTTCCGCAAGAGGGCGGGTGCCAGCGCCGCCACGGCCGCGCCACTGCCGTCGTGGACCCTTCCGTGACACGTCCCGTAAGGTACCGCGCCGACCACTGCTACGACCGCGCCACCGCCGCAACCTCGCCGCTTTCCTTCAACCTGCCCGCTTTCGCCACGACGTTGCTGCCGGCGCTGCGCGTCGTCGTGATGCTCCGGGAGCCCGCTGAGCGGATCTGGCTCTCCAGATGCGGAAGAGAGATAAGAGGGCACATCTGCGGCTGTGCTCAGCTGCATGCGGCGGCATTCAGCCGTATTCAGCTGTCTTCACACGCCCGTGTACCCACGCGATGCTCTGAACACTGCGCGAGACTTTGCCTTCCCGCCCTCACGTCGACGTGTGTGTGTTCGCGGCGCAGGCTCTGGATCGCCTTCCACAGTTACGGCCAGTACCCGGCCAAATACGGGCAGGGGGCCGCCGGCTTCGGAGGCTACTTTGGCAACCAGAGCGCGGCGTGGCACTCGTGCGTATCGCCCACCTCTAGCGCCACCACTCGCCCACCTCTCGATCACCTCTCGGCCACCTCTACCTCTCGCCCACCTCTAGCGCCACCTCTCGGCCACCACTCGCCCACCTCTCGCCCACCTCTGCACTGCAGGTGCGCCTCACGGCACGGCGTTCGGCCGTGCGCACTCCGCTTCGAGGGCCACGGGCCTGAGCAGGCGGAACGTCTGCTATTATCTCGGCTAGATCTCGGCTACATCTCGGCTATGTCTCGGCTATGTCTCGGCTACATCTCGGCTATGTCTCGGCTACATCTCGGCTATGTCTCGGCTGTATCTGTTGCATCTGTGACGGGCCCGAGGCGGACGTCTACTACCACTGCGACCAGCTCATCAAGGTCACCGTTGCCCCTCCTGCCCTCCTCGCCGCCGCCCTCCGGCCCTCCTCACCGCCGCGCCTCTCTCCCCCCGCTCAGGGGATGTACTCCGCCTTCCTCCCCGAGTGGCAAGCCTACTTTGCGCCCGAGCGGCTACTCGTCCTGCCGTCGAGCGAGCACTTTGCTCGCCCGATGCGGTACACCCGCCTCGTGTGGCGCGGGCTGTGAACAGCGCCTATTCACAGTCAGCGCGTGTGGAGCAGGTCGACCCGCCTCGTGTGGCGCTGGCTCGGGCTGAGGGAGGCGTCGCAGCAGGAGGAGGCGGACGCGCGGCGCGTCAAGGAGGGCGACGAGCTCGAGCAGACCGTGCGCAGGCACGGGGAGGCGCCGGCGCACCACTCCCGCGCGGTGCGCGCCTTCTACGCGCCCTTCAACCGCGATCTCGCCGAGGCGCTCGACGACAGGCGCTTCTACCGGGGGAATTGGGGCGCGCCGTCCT